AGTTTACATGGTTTGATGTGCTGCCAAATCATCAACTTGTAGGGGTATACAGTTTTAGACATGGATAAATTTGCTTTTCAGGAAACAGCCATGATGCCTCAAATGTATAGAGGAAGAGTCGCAGGTAACGAAACAAAGAAAAATATAAAGTTAAAACGTATTTCTTCTAATCCTGACCCAGAATCTTTTCATACGGGCTTCATTGTGGGTGAAAGGAAAAAAAATCAGTATTGGGTCCTAACAAAAGTAAAACAGCTTCAGGATGTTTCATCTTGAAACTCTTAGTCCAGTTCAAAGATTAAAGGTGCTAAGTCAGCGATGAATCAGAAGTTCATCCACCCACACAAAATGTTTAACCTGCACATCCTAGACGTTTGGAAAACCTGAAGCCCATCTTGACCTTAATGTTTCCGCCAGAGTGTGGATATGTCTGAGAGCCAAAGTGCTGCCTATGAAAAAGAGAAAAAAAAATACTAAAAGGGCCTGATGCATTAGGAAGTCGAGAGCCTTGATTGACCCAGTCATCATACGCATCGTCCATAACAAACATACAGGAGTAAACTAATCCTTTTGCACATATCCGATATTTAAAATCCAACTGAAAAACAAACAAATCAATCAGAAGGAAAAATCTAATTGCTTTAATTACTGCAGTACTTCGATGATGCAGTTTTTGATTTAATTTGAGCATTTAGGCTTTTTTGGTCGAACATGTTTTCATCCCACATCTTTTTTTTTCTTCCTCTCCACCTCAGTGGTAATGTGATCCCACACACTTTCCGTCAGACGTTCCTAACATCGACTCAACCATTCAGAGTCTGAATTTCCATCTTACCATTTCCCACGTTTGGATTTGGGTGTGATGCAGCAAAGAACCACCTTCATGTTTCCAGTAATTATGATTTCACATAATTACCGTGACCAAAAAAACCCAGTTTCCTCTGAAGAAAAGTAAGCCCAGAGCATGACGCTTCCCTCACCGTGTTTCACTATAGGGGTGATGTTCTTTTGGTGATGCTCAGCGGTTTTTTGTTTTGTGACTCTTGTCTGAAACTTGCAGAGTGCGTTTGTCTGAACATGACTCGCCCTCCCTGGAGGTTGTGATCGATTTTCGCCGGGCGTTTCCTCTGAAAGAAAAGACTTCAGCCAAAAAATATTTGAAGCACAGAGGGATTGCTGTCACATGTGCCACACAGAAAGTCCTTAATGAATTTTTTTTTTCCTTCTCCTTGAGTTACTGTAGAGCTCTTAACAGCCTCTCTCGCCAGTTTTTGATTTGTCTTCTTAATATTTCGGAGAAATGTTCCGTTTTCTGAAGTCCCTCTTGCCCCACATTTTCTGCAGTAATTGAAGATTTTCTTCACTGTGTGGTGTACGTCTAAAACACTCTCCTGATGGTTTAATACCGTCATTTCAACCCTTCATCTGTAAATCTATGGCTGTAACATAAGATTACAAATATTAAGAAGTCAGAATATTCAAATTAAAAGAGCTGAATTGTATTTCTGATTATGCAAATTTAACTTATTTCTCAATAGGAGTGAACTCAAGGAAGCTGAATGGCAAAAAGGAATTGATCTATGATGGTTTATCCATATTTAAATAAACATTTTTTGCACATCTGACAACAGCATGGGCCATTTTTAAAATGCAATGAGAATCTAAACTTGTCCTTCTTCTAAAATCACCGTAGATTAAGTCAACCAGAGAATATTTCCTAAACTTTGTGACTCTACCTCCAAAACTATAAGAATAATAACTGTAAACATGTATTTGGACTAAACTGGTCAGAAATATTAGAGAAAACAATGCCTGCATTATCTAAATGAATCGGTTATTACATAGATAACAAGAGAATCTTTCAAATAAAAAGCTTCAGGTTGAATAAACACTTTTTATCACTATTATTTATGCAATAGGAGCAGAACCTTTAGTTTGCTCAAATTAAAGTAGTGCTTATGTAACTGTCTTGCCACGACCAACAATGTTTACGGTAATGCACTGAAACAAAAACATCTGACCTGACTTCACCTTCTTCTCCTCCTAATAATAATAATCATAAATCTGATGAGTTCTGTTCTGGATTTTTTTTTTTTTTTCTGCTTCAAAACAAAATAATTCCAGTCAGTAATTGTTACAAAACGCAACACTTCATGATAATGAAATAAACTGGAAAATACACTCTTGGTGTGCTGAATATGAAATGCTTTGTGCATCATAGAAGCCCATAAAACCTGCCTGGTGCACATTAGGAAGCGAACAGGCCGCTGGAGGACGGCGGCAGCTCAGTGAGTCCTGATGCTCTGGGATCACAGCAGCCTTCATCTGCAGCCTCACTCGCAGCTTAACGGCCTTTTTATTAACGCTGCAGTCGGACCGCTGAACATCTACGGAAGCGTCCGACCAGAACCAAATGATGGGTTCTGCTTACTGAACGTCGGGCCGTTTCTCTGAAACAACAAGCGACATGCAGCAAATCCCTGGAAGGGGAAGTTTTACTGTGTCACAGAGGCGGGAAATCATATTTACAGTTCCCTGTAGGTTTTTCACTTCACGGGTGCAATGAAAAAGGAGAATCAGAGCGCGCATCCTTTAAAAATCCTTCATGCAGCTATAAAATTAAGGTATTAAAATTCGTACAACTGCAAGTTGACCTTTAATGCGTTACTCTTAGGTATTCAATTTTGTCTTAGACTATCTAGTCTTGTGCATAGTTTTTTGTTTGTGCTTTTTTTCTAGCTGGACTTTTCTACCATTCAAGAGTTTGCAATAAATCTCCTGCAGACATCTTCACTTCTTTCTGTGGGTCAAGGGAGTTGAGGCTACCGCTAACTAGCTGCTAATATACCCCCTGCTGGTTAGCTTACTGCGGTTTTTCATCGATGATGGGTAAATGCACATTTCTGAGTTGTATTTCTGTATTTTCTTTCTTTTTTTTTGTCTTAAATGAAGTTTGAGATCTTTGAAAGATCTTGAGAAGTTTTAGATTTGACTTGGTGAAACCTGCGGATTCCCTGAAAGTGGAGCGGCAATTTTAAAAAAATTTTTTAATTTTTTACCATTAATTTTGAGCAAAGTTTGTCAAACTTACTTTAATTATGTTTGTTTAACTTAACAACTTAAGTTTAATAAATTAATTTGGACAAATTTAATTTGATGCACTGTGACTAAATACAATATATTGAAGTTGGATCACCTGTACTCTTTTTTACAGTGTACCTGCAGAATATAATGCAGTAGACCAGCAGAAACAAGTACATAATTATAAAGTGGGGATAAAAAGATTGAATGTTTCCCAAATTAGCAACAAATGACGGTGTGCTATACATTTGGATTCAGCCTCTTTACTCTGAAACCCCGACATAAAATCTTTAATGGTGCGAGTCAGCGACTCAACGCAATCTGCTGGGTTTCCTTAGAAACTTTTTAAACTACTTTGAATACTAATTGAGCTACTGTACAGTTTGACAATTAGTGACATAGAAATCTACATTCTTCCCCTTTCGAGTATTGACAGGCATTTATCGCATCAAATATCATTTATCGTGATTCATTTCTTATCGCGGTACGATTTTTATTCATCGTTGTCACGGTAAATACCAGTTAACTATGTTTAAAAGCCACTAAAACTGTCTTCCTTGTTGGGATTGTTTTTTTCACTATATTTGCTCCATTGTTTGTTCAATGATGCTGTATCAATAAATTTAAAAACGTGATAAAATGCGGTTTGTGTGGATTTCAGTAAAACCCATCACACTTCTTTAAGTCACTGGCATCCTAGAGAAACGGATAACACATGGGAAGATTTCTCAAAAGCAAATTTTGTGATGTGTCAATTATCTGGAAAACAAACAAACAAAAAAAGGAAATGTTCTTATTGCCACTTTTACAATAGCGCCTAAACATACCGCGGTAACTGTAAACCCCTGTCGTTCAGACGCCATTACCGCACAAATACTCTCAGGACATATCTGTAGCTGCTGAGCCACACAGAAAACGTCTAGAGCCGGAGTGTTGCCGTTTCTCCCTGCTCATGCATTCATCTCTTGCGAGGCAAACCCACGCCGAGCAGAATGAGTGAGCAGAAAGCATCATCATCATACAGTCCTGTGAACGATCACCCTGAGCCTGTTGGCGACAGCAGCCTCCTCTTTAAACTTTCCTCATCACAAAGTGCTCATCAAAGCGCTAAAAAACAAACAAACAAAAAAAACCCCTCAAACATAGAGCCACAGATGCTCATTTAAAAAGCTTTATCTGAAGAATTGGGAACCGCTTTAATTTCGCGCAGAGCCGCGCCGGCTGAAGGTACAAAATAATCACGGCGGAGCCCCCTATTTTCCCCTCGCCTTTGTTCCAGCGGTTGAGTGAAAGTGGTGATGGTGAGGTTGAACGTTTTTTTTTTTTTTTTCCTGGTCGGGAGAGGACCCATGCTGGGAACTGATGACGGTTATTTGTGTGTGGCGCAGTTAATCAATCACTTGGAGTCAAATCAGATGGCACAGAGTGTGAGGCAGCTCTGCGCAGTTTGAATTTAAAGAGAAGACAGCGGGATGCCACCTTCAGTGCATTAAGGATTGCATGAAATGCCTCCCATCTGGAAAGCAAACATGCTACTTATCACTGGGATCATCTGTCGTGCTAGTTGGTGGGAAAAATATATATATGTATATATATAGAGAAGTATAAACATACCTCAATTACTATAAGAACCTAAAGATGGGGAAAGGGGTTGGCAATAATATCTTTGAAAACATGTTGGATGTTTTGAAAGGGGCGGCCACTGACAGTCTTCCAGTGGCACCCAATGATGAAAACTTAAAATAACTTCTGCAACTTAAAAGCTCATCCTCTCCTGTCTTGAAAACGTTCAGCTTAAAGAACGGGGACGACTTAAATAGGAGGCATAACCCCAGGTTCCCTGAGAGTGAATATGTTTAGCAAACATAAGTCGTATGTTTTAATGACTACAAATTCTTTATTATTATTATTAACTCTCTTGCAGTCTTAGTGCAACTCTCAGGAGGAGTGCAGCAAATGTCCCGGTCAGACTTCGGGGAATTGTCCCGTCAGACTGTCAGTTCCCAGAACCACACACAATAAAAACATGTAAAAGCCCAATAGAGATCAATACTGTCGGAACACAAACCGAGTTAAAAACATTTTATGGCCCTGTCTCTTTCAAAGGATAGTCAACTATTTCAAAAATGTATAATTTTGTAGCCCCTCCTCTGACTCAATGAACTCAATAACATAAGGCATAGCGAGCTTTAAACACAGGTTCCACATGGTGTTTGTTACTTTTGTTACACATCAGCTGGGCCAGAGTTTAGAAAGGGCTTTGAGGGGCAGTAGCCCAGGGCAATAACTTTAAAGGGGCGGAAAGAGAAGATTTTTCATTTGTCTTTTTGATGTTGCTTTATGAATGCGTGTTTTACAAACACTTTGCTTAATATAGAACACGGGACACAAAGTCATGAAAATAAAACAGTACTCCAGTATTAGAAAATGTTGAAGTTTCCTGGAACAATATGCAGCTGCTAACCCATTAATGTATACGCCCACCAGATAAGGCACTAAAACCGGGGCCCACGTCCTTCTAAATCTGGCCCTTTAAATAGATCCGACATCGACTTTTAATTAGGATGAAGTTATTTCTATTTTTGAGAAGAAAAAAAACAAAAGTGTTCCAAGAGGGGAAAAAAGGTCTATTTTAATATAGACATGAGTTCAAATGTTTTAAATCAATCTATTGTAATTCCCACAGCGTGAAATAAAGTTGTAGAGGGTGGGGCACCAAACCTGCCCCCCTCCTACAACCGGCCCTGTTTTGACCAACCTGACCACAAACCAGCTCAGTGAGAATCAGGGGACAAAACACAACACACCGTGGAAGTTCAGGCTCGACACTGGCAGCAGTTTTGTGACTTCAGCTGAGGTTAAATACACATTTTTATTCACAGGTAAAAACGGCAACAGCAACCATTTCAAGGAAAAACTGCGACTCTCCACCTCGTTTCTTCCAGCAAAGCTGTTGCGTTTCTGGGCCTGGATGCGCCTGCACTGCTCTGGGCCCGCAGGCTGCCACTTTTTATTGAATGTTTTTAAATGTTTCATCCGCTTTCAATCTGATATGTTACCAGAACACATGGGAATAATGGACATAAAACCTCCTGTGTAACTTACTGTTATACTGTGTGTGTTGGAGGGAGATGTTTGGTGAGGGGGGGCTTTAAGCACAAAAAAAAAAAAAAAGAGAGAGAGAAAGAAAGAAAAAGAAAGTCAGTGATTGTCACAGCAGAGGCTCCGGAGCGGCTATGTGTTGCATGCCTCGGCGGGGAAAATGTCCTCGTAGGCGGGCGGCAGTTCGCTGGGGATCGGGTACGAGAACGGGAAGCAGTGGTTGAGCTCCGGGTCCCAGGGCCAGTATCCGGGCAGGTCGATGGACGGGTGGCCCCCGCGCTGCACCTCGGCCCCCGTCTCGTCCAGCACGCCGAGCGCCCCCAGGTTGATGTAGGACACCGGCTGGAGCCCCGCCGCCGCCGCGCAGTCCCGCTCCTCGCTGAACACGATGGGCCCCCCGCCGCTCTGCCGCTGCCGCTGCCGGCTCCTAGAGAACTGCTCCGCCTTGTAGCGCTTGATGATGACCAGGTTGAGGAGCCCCAGCAGGCACTCCAAAGTGCTGAGGACGGTGGAGATGACCAGGGTCCGCTGGTACTCCCGCAGCCGCTGGCAGGCGGAGTTGACGAGCACCGAGTGGAAGCAGTAGTGGGAGAATTTTCTCTCCACCAAGGAAGCCGTGTCCCCGTCCACGACCGCGCCGGAGAAGGCGGTGAGGACCCCCAGCAAGAAGACAACGACCCCCAGGAGGAAGAAATTCCGGCAGCCGGGCTTCCGCACGCAACAGACCATCGCCGAGCCCAGCAGCACCTGGCCGGTCCCCACCAGCAGCCCGGAGTAGAAAGCCCCGGCGGCGGCGCCGAGGTGGAAGTGCGCCTTCACCGTAGATCCCAGCGAGACGCATCTTAATCCAACGACAACTTCGCTCAGGGCGCACACGAAGAGGAGGGCGCTGGAGCACACGGTGCACAGTCCTTTCCCACTCAACTTCATCATAGCCCACCTCTGCCGCTCTCGACCCCGCTCCCCCCGTCCTCATCCTCCCTCGTGCTCTCCTCCGTCTCCTCTGGAAACGCTCTCAGGCTGGGTCATCATCTGCCGGTGAGTCCTCCGGTTCAGAGCGGGCGAGCCTCGCCGCTGCGGCGTCTACTCGCGCATCTCCGCCGCTTTACAGGAACCCCATAAATAATTAATGGCATAGCAGAGATGCGCCCCCCACACACACACACCCCTCCACCCAGCCAACCCCACCCTCCCTCCACCACCCCTCTCCCCTCCAACCCTCGTCGGTAATTATCGATAATCCACACGCAGCCAATGATCGCGGTAAACCAAACGTCCAGTCGCTCCTAAACTAAAACTTCTCCATGGTTTTTCCTGCAGGAGAGAGAAGTGTGGACTGCCGAGCCTGCTGGCTGGAATGCAGTGGGGTCTGTCTTTCTTTCTTTTCTTTTTTTTTTTGGTGACAGAAAGGGAGGAGATTATAGGGGTGACCAATGACCCAGGGGCGTTCATGCTCTCTGCACTGCAAAAAAATAAAAAATAAAAAAAATAAAACCAAATCATACCAAGTGCCCTTAGTGGAAATATCTGAGTAGACTTGAAATAAGACAAAACTTACTTCTAATAACCTAAATGACATTTTGCAGTGAAACTTTTCCACATGTAGTAAATACATCGTGGTCTTCCGAAGCTGATGGCTTCAGTCATTTTTGCCAAAAGCGACTCAACTGGACCTCAACCACATTTAATTTCCCTTTTTAGCGGTTAATAAAGTATTTTTTTTATTTAGGAAGATAAGAACATATAAAAGGCTTCTTGGCAATATGAATCCTCATGTATGCTGTTAAATGAAAATATTACATCTCAGATTTAACTGGAATATAAACATTGTTTCACAAAATATAATGGCTCGTTTTTTTTAATGTTGATTTTTTTAAGTAGTAATTCCAGTGGCAGATTAGTTCACTTGTAATTTATTTCCCAATGGGTGAAAGAATTTGCAAGAGGAAAACTGGAACAATCAATATTAAGGAATGAACTTAAAACAAGCTGCTATATCTTGCTTGTAAGTTATGTAATCTATAACCACTGCACCAATATTGACTTTCTATACTTACTGTAAAACCCAGTTTTCTTTGGTCAATAAAAACCTCGGTCTCGGTCCAGTTGAAGTGAACTCCGGTGTGGTCATGTGGACCGGACACCGCTCCAAAAGCAGAAAGTGGACTATAGCACTTTACATTTTCCGAAGAAGGAAGCTGCGCTTAGCATCTTTTGAGGCCTTCGTGCCGTTACCTTCAGTGGCTTTTGGTGCAGCGCCACCACAGGCGAGGAAGGGAACAGCTTTTTCAAAGGCTTTAGTTTGTTTGACTCAGCGCAATGTGAAAGCGAACCACACCAGTTGAAAATGCAAGAAATGTTGCAGTTTTGGTCACCAATCAAACCGAGTCTACTGGACGACAAGATCTGGTAACAAACTTGCGTCATTGAAGACGGATGAGGCTGCTTCTGGCTTTTTCTGTCTCTCGGCAAACTGGGCTTTGACTGTCTAGCTTCTGTCCCGAAAGCATAACCAACATCTGGTTAAAACGAACTACCCAATACTATTTGGAGTGTGCCTTCTGATGCAGAAACACTTTGCTCAACAGAAGCTTTGACTCTGAGCGAACCCTCAAAGCCCCTCAGTCTTCATACTAAAACACAATCTGACAGCAGCAGAGGCAGACTATGAATCTCATTTCTTCAAGTAATCCTTTAAATAAATGGCGTTTTAGTGAAATCACAACTCGCTCCTTTCGGATAACACACGGGGCGTACGCAGCGTGTCGGCGTCCCTGAATGGTTTCCTATTTTGTGGATTCGGTTTTGGGGCTCGAGAGCAAAAACCGGCAGCAGCCGAGGATCCGGACCAAAGCCGGACCGAGGCTTTGAGCTGTCCGCGGCGTTATGTCCTGCTGGCTGAACTCCTTCACATCTTTCCCTACAGTGTGCATGCTGACAGCGTAGATAAAGAGCAGAGGAAAAAAAAAAAAAAACAACCTGTCCCTTGGGATTTTATTTAAGAGATTTAATAGAATTGTGTGGGCGGGCCTACAGTATCTGCAGTTTGTTTTCTCTTTTCAGAGTCCAAACGGCCTTGGCACCGGCGAAGACAGGACAACAAGAATTGCATTACAGTCTTTTCATTTGAGAAGGACACACCGTGTGAGTCACCCACAGTCAGCGCTGTAATGCCAAGCACAGGCTTACAACCCACAGTCTAAAAGCCGACGTTTGAGCGTGAAAACCTTTGGTTTGTCATGTTGAAGGGGAGCTCCACCAACTCCGAGGTCAACACTCAACGTTAAGTTTGAACTTTTTGGTCTTTCCGTCCATTGTTATGTCTGGTGCCCAGATGTGAGATTTGACCGTATCACTGCGCAAGTTGGAATTACAAAATCAGATTAGCTTAATGGAAACATGTCAGTTCGGGGGGGAAGGAGCTCACGCTTTACGGTAAAAAAATTTAACGCTAGGATGAGGTGCTTCGAAATCACAAAACATTTTATTTTGTTTTTGTTACGTGAACAACAACCAGATGTTACCACTACCAGAAAAGATGAAGGAAAACAACAGGAAGTGACGGAGCAAGTATATATATTTTTTAATGACGTATTGTGTGAACAAACTTATTCATGTGTGATTTAAATTGTTTCTTATTTAGTGGAAGCGCCACATTTTTGACATTTGGTTTTGATTGACATTAGCAGAACATCAACAAAGTTTTGTAGATGGCTATATAGCAATGAGCAGCCAAAACACAGACGGGTGATGAGCATAATAATACATAATAAACTTATATTAACTGCTTGATTCACCCAGATGCACATCAGTGCCCTTTTGGTTTTATGCTATTTTCAAGCATTCTAACCATTGAAAAACTAGCCTCAGTTGAAGTCCAGTGCTCTCTTTCATCAAACATGTGGTGTCTGCTTTTCTGGTAGATCCCTTTAAATCACCATTCCCATAACGTCTTGGTTTATTCAAAAGAGGAGAAGAAGAAAAGAACTGAAAAGAAAGAATGCAGTGAATGTGGGTATGCACTGTTTGCAGGGTGCTGTGCTAGCGGAGTAAGAAATGGTTAGGCATCGTATTTTTTCCTCCAAAAATGAATGTATTTTATAATTCCATGTAGTCGGAGTAAGAGCCCTCCATTTGATAACCCAATTTGGAGTCAATGTCCAGTTAATGTGTTATAGCCCCAGGTCAAATCCTCATGGAGCCAACATCCAACTTCTTGGTTGGGCAAAAAGTTTGAGAAGAACCAAAGTCACTGAAAGTCAAACATCTGAGAGGCAAAGAACAGGAAAAAAGCAGTGTGTGGATATGTCACAATGCCCTTTCTCACAGTTCAGGTCAGTGGACTCTGCTGAAAAGATAGATGGATAAGAAATACAAAACGGACACCGATACTTCACTTTTAGTGAAGAATCCCTGTTTAATTTCAGGACAGAAATTAAACAGGGAGGCTTTTGAATCCTTCCCAAACCCTTGAAGTCTTCACGTAGGATGAGTCTCCTGAACTGTAAAGGGACTCCACAGTGAGACGCGCTGGCAGGACACCCAGGACTGTCGTGGTTGTCACTTCACTGCGTCTCAACGTGAAAAATTAGCCAAAAGATTTCCCGTCAGAAAAATTACACCAGAGACAAACCTCTCACTTCCATTTATCACAATGAGCCACCTCATTGACTCTAGTAGTCAGTGAGTCCTAGAGCCACTCTAATTAGGTCGTTACTACTTTTGCATAGGTTTGCAGATAAGAAACGGTGAATGACAAGCTGATGATCTGCTGATGGATCTGCAGTCCTGCTGGCTGGTGACGGGCGGAGGGGGAGGTGGACGGGGTCTCTGTCCGCTGAGGGAACTGCAGATGTCTCCACCGTTCAGCAAGGCAGGAAACACAAATCTGAGTTTTGAAGGCGGCAACGGATCCAAACCTGATGTCACATTTGAAAGGATTCGACTTTGTGAATCTTTTAGTGACTAGGGGTGAATTCACACCGGTTCTGTTTAGTCCACTTTAATCAAACTCTGATTTGTCTGGTTTAAGTCTGGTTTGTTTGGGGAGGGTGTGAACGCGCAATCCAAAAAACAAACTCTCGTCCACCTAAAAGCCTCTGACTGCATTCAGTTAAAGTGAACTCTGATGTGGTCTGAATGCATATGTGAACACATCTGGACCGGAGGCCGCCCCCAAAACAAAAAGGCGGACGGCAGCACAAGGCATTCTGGGTAAAACACAACCAAAACAAACGTGCTAACGGGAGAAATGGCTTGTGAGAAATCCTAAATTCTGACGCTACTCCACTTTTGTTTACATTTAGTGAAGAAGGAAGTTGCATCTGTGTCTTCTTCAGTGGTTTTCATGTCATTTCCTTCTGTAGTTCTTGGCGGAGCGCCATCACAGGTGAGGAAGGGAGCAGGTTCTCCAAAGGGTTTTTGTTTGATTGACACAGTGCAACACAAAAGTGAAGCTAACCAACTGAACATGTGACACTTGTTGCATTTTTTTACTGCCCAATTGGACTCAGTCTACCGGCCTTCCTTGTGGGGGGGAGTCAGTGGCAGGTCACAGAGAGCATTTCAGTCCCGATGTGACTCACCGCGTTAAATTGCCTGAACAAATCTGATGAAGCAGAAGTTGTTAACAGCATATGTCTTTCGTCGGGACACAAACACATCCCCGCTCTCCTGCATAACGCAGGCAATTTACTCGTCATGGTCACAAACCTGGAAGACGCCGTTACCGAGGAGGAAAGTAATTCCCATCCTCACAGGCGAGATCGTCCCTCGTACACACGGCGCCCAGTGAGCAGAACGAGCCGAAGCCGGCTTCGTTTTAACGTGCAGAACACTCTTTGAACCAGACAATCTGTTTGTTTTGTTTTTTTTCTAACCCCAGGTGGAATTCAGAAAAAAATCAAAAAAGCAAAACTTGTCCTCATGACAGACTTCCTCATTTGAAATATAAATCACAGTTTGTATCTGTGGAGCTCATTGCTTCCACTGTGCCAAAGAACCAGCTGCCACAGCAACCGGACTGCAGTTTTACGGCGGCGGTGACGAGTCGGACTGTGAAACCTCGTTTGATTCCCTGAATGTTAAAAAGTCTGGACCGGCTTTCGGCAGGGACTGAGAGGGAGTTCATCCTGAAGGCAGAGA